CTAACCCTAAACCTAACCTAACCTAAACCTAACCTAAACCTGAACTTAAACCTACCTAACCTAACCTAACCTAACCCTAACCCTAACCTAACTACCTAACCTAACCTATCTAATTAAACCTAAATAACCTAAACTACTAACTAACCTAACTAAACCTAACCTAAACTAACCACCTAACCTAACCAAAACCAAACCTAACCTAACTAACCTAACTAACCTAAACCTAAACCCTAACTAACCTAACCTAAACCTAACCTAAACCTAACCTAAACCTAACCTAACCTAACCTAAACCTAAAACCCAAACATAACCTAACCTAACCTAACCTAACCTAACCTAACCTAACCTAACCAAAACCTAAACCTACCTAACCTAACCTAACCTAACCTAACCTAACTAACCTAACCTAACATAACCAAAACTAACTAAACCTAACCTAACCTAAACCTAAACCTAACCTAACCTAACCAAGACCAAACCTAACCTAACCTAACCTAACCTAACCTAACCTAACCTAAACGCTAACCTAACCTAAACCAAACCTAAACCTAACCTAACCTAAACCTACTAACCTAACCTAACCTAACCAACCTAACCTAACCCTAACCTAACCTAACTAACCTTAACCTAACCTAACCTAAACTAAACCTAACCTAACCTTATCAATTTAACCTAAACCTAACCTAACCTAACCTAAACCTAACCTAAACCAAAACCTAACCTACCTAACCTAACACTAACCTAACCTAACCTAAACCTAACCTAAACCTAAACTAACCTAACCTAACCAAAACCTACCTAACTAAACCAACTTAACCTAACCTAACCTAACCTACCTAACCTAACCTAACCTAAACCTAACCCAAACCAAACCTAAACCTACCTAACCTACCTACCTAACCTACCAAACCTAACCTAACCTACCTAACCTAAACCCAACCCAACCCAACCCAACCCACCCAACCTAACCTTAACCTAACCTAACCTAACCTAAACCTAACCTAACCTACCTTAATAACCTACCTAACCTACCTAAACCTAACCTAACCTAACCTACCT